TCGCCAGTGCTACAGAGCATGTGCACTGTGCTGAGCTTCTTTGGACTCAGACTTGAGTTAAAAGAAGAACGGAGAACTTATGGGTTCTATCCGTGTGCCATGAGGTTGATCCGTTGTTTAAACTATAAACTTCAAAGTTAACCTCGGGCTATACAATCTCTCAACCCTAGAACATGTAATCTCTTAAACCTGGATTATACAATCAATCAACCCTGGGCTACACAATATCTCTAAGCTGGACTTCACAATCTCTAAACCCTGGACTACACAATCTCTTAACTCTAAACCATAAGTCTCTCAACCCTAGGCTACATAATCTCCTAACTTCAGTCTACACAATCTCTTTACCATGGAGCACATAATCTCCCAACTGCAGTCTACACAATCTCTTTACCATGGAGCACATAATCTCCCAACTTCAGTCTACACAATCTCTTTACCATGGAGCACATAATCTCCCAACTTCAGTCTACACAATCTCTTTACCATGGAGCACATAATCTCCCAACTTCAGTCTACACAATTTCTTTACCATGGAGCACATAATCTCCCAACTTCAGTCTACACAATCTCTTTACAATGGAGCACATAATCTCCCAACTTCAGTCTACACAATCTCTTTACCATGGAGCACATAATCTCCCAACTTCAGTCTGCACAATCTCTTTACCATGGAGCACATAATCTCCCAACTTCAGTCTACACAATCTCTTTACCATGGAGCACATAATCTACCAACTTCAGTCTACACAATCTCTTTACCATGGAGCACATAATCTCCCAACTTCAGTCTTCACAATCTCTCGAACCAGGACTACACAAACTCTGAACCCTGGACCACACAATCTGACAATCCCAGATCACACAGTCTTTCAAACTTGAACCACACAGCCTCTCTAGCCACACAATCTCACTTTCGTGTGTCTGTCTCACTCTATCTCTCTCACTGAAATATCAGATTTTATTTTTAGAGTTGATTGTTTCAATGTTGTTGTTACCAAAAGTATATTGATTCTATGGAAGGCTCCAAAAGCACCAAGCAAAACTACAAACAAATAAAAAGCAACAAATGTTGGCAGAAGGTACTGGCCTAAACACAAACCTGTCACGGCGCATGTCTGAACACAGGGGCTTCAGGCTTCCTGTTTTTATTTGGGAGTCAGTGCTACAAGGTTCACACAAATTCGTAAGTATGGACATAAGCGCACACGTAGACCTGCCTGTGTATGTAATCTTTTTCTTCTCTCTCTCTCTCTCTCTCTCTCTCTCTCTCTCTCTCTCTCTCTCTCTCTCTCTGCATTTCCCAGAACTAATCCATCTCTCACTAGCTCACATACTCACTTGCAGTCCCTCGTACTCACTCAATCCCTCACATTCTCCCCCCCCCCACCCCGCCCACACACTCACCTACACACATACAAACACCAGTCACCCATAAACAAATGAAAACTGGAAGTGTCCGTGTGATGCGAGGATGGGCCAGAAATTCACAAAGCATGGATGCCAGTGGTTTCAGAAATCGATATTGTTAGAATTGAGGCCGGCAGTTAGAACTGAGGCTGTAGATTCCCTAAAATCGCTTCCGTGAAGCGCTTTCTATAAACGAATTGATTCGAAAACACAAGGTCATGACCTATCGAAAACATCAAACGGCAAAACACCCGGCTGATTTATGTGTGTTTTAGAGCCATAATTTAGTGTGAGGAGGCATTCGTGACGCTGTCTAGTGAAAAGGTAGGGGGGGGGGGGTGCGAAGGTGAAAATGGAAGGAGGAGAATGTGGATGTGGTCTGTTGCAATGCTTACTGAAAGATAAAACAATGAGGATGAGAACTAGGTGCTTTTTGTATATACAAGTTAAATAAATGTCAATGTAACTGTCGAGAACCTACTTTGCTGCCGTGCAGGCATACGGCTCGTTGGTAGGCTCATAACAGATCAAGTTTATTCTAAGACACAACTAAGTCAACATCATCATAGTGTACACACATGTCTGCAAAATAATTTGCAAGAGATCGTCACTAGTTTACCTCAGAGGTGGCTCGCAACCCTTTCATCACCGGCCGTGAGGGCTCTACAATCACCCCCACATACTGGCCGCCCAGTTCTCTCTGGCGAAATCTGGGTTCGAACCCACACCTCCGATATAAGTTCTTCGTTGACGTTAATGCAGTTTATACCGGGACGCCAGTGTTACTGTAGGGTTATGGGTAGTGAGCCTGAACAAACCATGTCATGTAAACCACACAAATCCCGCATGAACCAAGGTCAAGTCGGAAGATACGAACCACCGTCATTGCACCCGGTTATAAACCATAAGTGCTCTGCCACCAGTACGGACAGCTGATAAGAAACTGTCCGCCTTTGTTGCCGTCCGCACGCAACTCCGTAGCTACAGCGACGTTCCCCCAATTACCCTAAAATGTTAACTTTGGTACCCATTACCTAGAGGCAGGGTGAACCGCGGTAACTGCCCGGTTTCGAATACCGGACGTGTGCTGCAGCGAGTTAAAGCTGAATTTGAAAGCGAGGCTCTTGTCGACTGCGCTAACGAGGCCCCATATGAACCCAGAAAATATATGACTGACCTTCCAACACTTAACCTGCAAATGCCTAAAAAAAATCGCGTATCTTGTTATGTATGAAATCCTCAGAGAAAGAGAGAGAGAGAGAGAGAGAGAGAGAGAGAGAGAGAGAGAGAGAGAGAGAGAGAGAGAGAGAGAGAGAGAGAGAGAGAGACAAAAGGAATAGTTAGGTTAGATCTTACTTTCAATTAACATAATACGCGAAAATGTGCAATAGGAGGACAAATTATGTTTACTGGAGAATATCTTGGACAAAGAAGAGGAGAAATGTTGACATCTTGAAAGATCTTTACATCAAGCAAGATTGACTAATAAACAGCAAAGGACTTGCTACATGATGATGATGGTCATTTATATATTAACATAAATAAATAAAGCACAAGTTTCAGACACATGACATTTCTAGATTGAAGATCGAAAATCTTCCGCAATATCATCGACAATATACATTAACACATTTCTTTCTTACTCGTAACACTAAATATATATATCTATGAGTATACATACAGTCAATCTCAAC